CATCTGACCAACAAAAATCAGCAGAAACTATATCTCAAGGATTTTGATGATTTTTGTTTTTAGTTTCATTTCTTTAAAACAGTTTTTTTTCTCTACATTCTTCACTGTCTCTGGCCCGGCGCCGTGGCCTAGTGGCTAAAGTCCTCACCTTGAACGTGCCAGGATCCCATATGGGCGCCAGTTCTAATCCTGGTAGCTCCACTTCCCATCCAGCTCCCTGCTTGTGGCCTGGGAAAGTAGTTGAGGATGGCCCAAAGCCTTGGGGCCCTGCACCTGTGTGGGAGACCTGGAGGAAGTTCCTGGATCCTGGCCTCAGATCGGGATAGCACTGGCCGTTGTGCTCACTTGGGGAGTGAATCATCAGACGGAAGATCTTCCTCTCTGTCTCTCCTCCTCTCTGTATATCTGACTTTCCAATGAAAAAAAAAAGAGTCACTTGACTTTTAATAAAAAATTCTTCACTGTCTCAATTATCATACAGTAGCATCGTTTTCTCCAAGAAGGTTCTTGGTTTTGTTTTTCGTTTCTTTGGTGACACATTAGTCATTCAACAGCATGTTATTTAACTTAATGGCACTGTAAATTTCTTCTTTTTTCTTCCTGTTGTTGATTTTTGTTTTAAGGCTTTTCATTTAAAGGGATGTATAATAATGGTGTAATGAAGATTATCATATCTAGTGGCAGGTTGTTTAACTTCATGGCATTGTAAAGTTTTGTTTTTCTTTTTGTTGTTGATTTTGTGTTGTGGCTTTTCACCAGTGGGTATGTGTAGTGACTATGATGTGTAGATGGGAGGATATGGTGCACTGTGTATTTAAATAGAGGATGGCCTCCCAGTTGGATGTGTCATGACAATGGGATGCTGGACTCTGCCATTGTCCATGCCTGCAGTGATGGATTTATGACTGTTTATGAGGAATTATACTGTTGTAATGATATAGGGGAACTACAGTGGGGAAGGGGATTTGGGCAGAGGTTAGGAGAAATCTCAGGGCCTATGGAACTGTATCATAAAAATAATAATAATAATAGATGAAAAAGAATATGCTTGGGATTCTGGATGGCTATTATAGTAAAAGTAAAAAATTCATGAGCCCATCTGTTGTTATTTACTCCTGAAACCTTCAGATTGTATGATTTTGCATTCTGTATGTGTTGGTCTTTATGGATAAAGGTCAGTGTAGATCTGAAGTCCTTGGAACCTCGAGTCTTTATGAGCTGGGGTCTCTCTTTAAGGATGACCATATAGCGTGAAGTCGCTGACATTTCTTGCTGTACTTTGGGAGGGCTCTGTGTTTGGAGGGCTCTGAACCCTTCGCTTACTCCAGAGAAACAGCCTCCCTGAGAGAGATTGTTCTAGAAAGCAGTGCCTTCTTTCCCACTGGAAGAAAGAAAGAAATCACTGGTTCCTAACTTTTAAGCTCCTTAGGTGTGGCGTAAGCCGTAACACTGCAGTTCAGCTGGTGGCATCTGTGCGGGCTTTGGTTGTATGTTACCTGATCCCACAGCCTGGACGTGGCCCTGGGATAGCAACTCAGATCTGAGGGCCCAAGGGTGCATCGTGAATGTTAGCTAATGAAACCCCACCGAACCCCAGAGACGCGGGGGAGAGTGACACAAGCTCACCTCGCCCAGTTCTGAAATGCAGCCACCTCTGGGGACAAGCGTGGCAGCTGCTGCGCAGTAAAGCACAAGCCCTCACGGCAGTTCCATCAGGACAATTAGGCGTTGTGCTCGATAATTGTGTCACCAGTAGCGCACTCTCAGGTAGTTAACACAGCAAGATTCTAAGTTCATTGCCAATCTCACCTGTTCCTCTAGACCTTTAATTTTTGGCAACTTCATTCTAATTATAAGAGAAATATATACCCAGCCAAGGCCTACAGTTCTTTTCAGTTATGCATTTTGGAGTTCTTCAAGTTTAAAACTTAAAGTGGGAAAGTATCAACAGTCATGCACACATGTTTGTATTTTTACATATATGTACCATATTTGCATACATGCATATCACACACATTCATATATAAACATCTACATATGTTTACACACATTCATGTATCTGCACACACATGTAAATACATACATATACATATGTATTTACATATATGTGTATAAGTTTACTCTTGGGGTTGGCATTGTGGTATAAGGAGTAAGGGACACTGGACACTGATATCCCATAAGGGCACTCATTTATGTCTTGTCTGTTCCACTGCTGGCCCAGCTCCCTGCTCATATGCCTGGGAAAGCCACAAAAGATGGCCTGAATGCTTGGGCTTCTGGCTTCAAACCTGGTCCAGCCCCAGCCATTGTGGCCATTTAGGTAGTAAACCAGGGGGTAGAAATTCTTACTCCACCTTTCAAATAAATACATCTTTTTTGGAAAATCTTGGGGGCTGGTGTTGTGACAAAGCAGGTAAAGCCTTCAGTTTCAATGCTGGCATCTCACTCAGGCACCAGGTTTATAACCTGGTTGTTCTACTTCAATCCAGCTCACTACTGATGTCCTGGAAAACAGCCGTGAGAGCTGGCCTGGGTCTATGTGCCTGTCACCTTGTTGAAGACACAGACTAACTCCTGGCTCCTGTATTTTGCCTAGCCCAGCCCTAGCTGTTGTAGCAATTTAAAAGGGGTGAACCAGTGGATACAAGATTCTTTTGTCTTTCTCTGTAACTCTGATTTTCAAATAAACATATAAATTATATTTTTGAATATATATGTCATCTATATATAAATAAATAAACCTTTAAAAATATTGCTGCTGAGTGGTGGTGAAAATGAGAAAGCAGCTGGGATAGTGATGGGCTAAGATGAGGGAAGGTTCTGGATGTGGGAAATGTGTCCTGCATGCATTGCAATGGCTGTCGCTTGGTGACAGACGCATGTTGCAGCTTCCTGACTGCACACTTGCTCCTGTGTGTGCGATAAACTGGCGGGCATGCTGCTGATTCAATCCGTGGTGCTGCAAACCCCAGACATGATGTCTGGAGGATTTCCCAGTGTGCCAGAGCCGCTCAGAATCCAATGTTCCAGGTTTTACCTGCAGTCTTTCTTCATGGGAGGGGCTCTATGTTCTTGACTACACACACACACACACACTAAACCCACCCCCTTCATCTCACATGCCTTTCTCAAAGCTAAATAGTCATTACCCTTTATGCCAGGAGACAACTTCTGACCTTCAATTCCAGCCACCCCCTGCTCCCTTCAGCCAGGCTTTTCTCACCTCCCCAGCGTCTGAGTCTTAGGCTCTGACTGTATTTATTTGCTTGTGTGTTCATCAGAAGTAGGTATAAAGATCCGGTAACTTGGAGCGATGATGGTTCAATGGCTAAATCCTTGCCTTGCATGCACTGGGTTCCATATGAGTGCCGGCTCATGTCTCAAGTGCTCCACTTTCCATCCATCTTCCTGCTTGTGACCTGGGAAAGCAGTAAAGGACAGCCCAAAGTCTTGGAACGCTGTACCCGTGTGGGAGACCTGGAAGAAGCTCCTGGCTTCAGGTCAGCTCAACTGCGGCCATTGCAGCCACTTAGGGAGTGAGCCAGGCGATGGAAGCCCTTTATTTTTGTAAATCTGCCTTTCCAATAAAAATAAATAAATTTAAAAAAATACAGTATCTTGGGGACTTGGAAGGCAACTGTAGGGACTGTGTATCCCTGGTGAGGGCTAGGAGAACGTGGCGGGAGGGGAGGAAGCCGAGGGGATCCTTCCGCGGGATGCTGGGAGATAAAGAAGGCAGAATGGGATGGATATGGGTGGTGACAGCAGCTCTGGAGCCTCCAGCAGATCCAGGGTGCCTCCTGCTCCTGGGCTGCTCTGGGCTGGGGCCAGAAAGTAGGAGCAGGAGGGGCAGCTGCGGGGCTCCCGGCAACACAGGCCCAGGTGAGGCTGCAAGGATTGCAGGCCTGCCTGTCGTGACGGCCTCTCCCAGTGTGGGGAGGGAAGGGTGGAGAGAGAGAGACGAGGAAGAGGTGGCCTTAGCAAGGCCTTTTCAGTCAAACAACATCATTATGTTTTTAAAAGATTTATTTATTTATTTTGTTGTCTGAAAGGCACATTTTTATAGAGAGATGGAGAGTTGGAGAGACAAGGGCCTTCCATCTGCTGGTTTACTCCCTAAGTGGGCTGCAAAGGCTCAAACTGAGCTGACCTGAAGCCTGGATTAGGAGCCTCCTTTGGGTCTCCCATATAGGTACAGGGTCCTAAGGACTAGAGCCATCCTCTGCTTCTTTCCTAGGCCATTAGCAGGGAGCCGGATCAGAAGTGGAGTAGCCAGGACTAGAACCAATGCCCATGTGAGATGCTGGTGATTGCAGGTGGGAGATTGTCCTGATGCTACCACCACAGCAACCCCAGTGACCTTTTTCTATTGTTGTTCTGTGATTTTAAGTGAAGTTTAAAGGCACGCTACGGAATTTGTCAGAACAGTGGTGCTCTGCTCAGTTCCTCTTGCTTAGACAACAGCAAAGTGAGCATGGGGGTCACTGGTACAGCTAGGAGTTCAGTTTTCCAGGGAGAAGGCAGCTTTTGAGCTAACCCTGGGCAGTTGAGCAGCACAGACGTACCTCATTGTGGTGTCACCCACCTCCTGCCTTAAGATCCTTTCCAAGCTGCGGTCAGAGAAGCTGACCTTCAGTAGTTTGCAAACGTCAGGGAGGGCTGCGGTCAGTGGGTGCTGTGACCCCGAGCCTGGCACAGAGGCCCAGGCCTCCTGTGCAGCAGGCTCTCCACACTCAATGTCCATCCGTGGCTTCATCTTTGCAGCACCCCTGGGGGAGGGATCACTTGACCTCTGTCATGCACAGGGGAGTACCAAGGATCCCTCTGTGGAAGGCCCCAATCTTCTCACCTTGATGGGTCACAACCCCCGCCCCCCATAGAATCAAACTCATCAGAGACACTGAACTTTGTCAGCACATTGATCCTGCAGTCCAATTTCCTGTAGCTTCATAGACACTTACTGTGGATTTTCTCTTCTTATTCTCTTTTATCTCCCAAAGATACAGAGCTCAGCAGTAGCAGCCAGGATTCCCAGCAAATAGTGAAGGAGCCATTTTCTCCAGAGCCCAGGGAGAGTATCCAGGTAAGGAAGACCATTCCCCTATGCCTGGGTGCAGGGTGGGCTGGCACGCTACTTGTGACACCAGGAACATCCCTTGGGCTGGGGGCATCGTATGCCACAGAGGCCAGGGGAACAAGGCCCACAGGCTTCCCCCCATGCGGGTAGGGGTGAATTTCAAGCCCACATCTGCCTTGCTCCCGACCATTCCCTGATTTCAGCAGGCAGATAAAACAGCCCACTTAAGGCTCCCTGGGAAATCCAAACTTTCTGAAGAAAATGACGCTCTGTCTCCACCCTCAACCATGTTTTCTCCCTGCCCATCTCAGCTCCCTGTAGAGCTGCTTGCTTGCTTCCCTGGCTTGGCCTTACTGGGCGGGATCCCCTGCTCTGCACCTCCTGCTATGAGCATACTGTCCATAGAGGACTGTGTGAGCTACCTTCTTACCCTAATAAACCCACCCCAAGAGAACCTGCAATTGACTGTCAGAGATTACAGAGGACCCGGAGGGTGGGCCTGGACATCCAGCCACTTCTACCAGCCTTGAACCACCAACGGATTCCCAGCCATGTGAAGAGGCCCATGTGTCTGTGGACTCTCGTGTCCCCACCTGCTTCTACGGGGCCTCAGGAGTGCACGCCCCTTGGGTCCTGAGAAACAAGGCCCCTCTGATTGCCCTTCCGCTCCCGAAGGCCTCACCAAAGGGGTTCAGCAGAAGTGGGGAGAACGAGTGGGCTCACACCCAGGTGTATGGTGCCCGTGCAGAGCTACATCTGCCAGGGTCCAATCCTGCATAGCTCGTTTGGTTTCTGGTCTACCAACTCCTCCTTCTGGCTGGTCCCAGGGTTCCTCACACCAGAGAAGGATGGAGAGCAGGTGTGATAGCGTTACTTCTTAGCCGCCAGCTTCCTCCTTTCTTTCCTTTTGTTTTCTCCATTCCTGCCTTGGACCAAACAGCTTTTCCCTTGCCCCTCAGCTCAGTCAAGGACTATCTGGGGAAGAGGAGCCATGGGAGAGGACTCCAGGACACCATTGTAAATTGTACCCTTTGATCTTTTTACGTCATCTTTGTGCAGAGATCCTGATGTCCCAAAGCACAGAAAGTTTCAATCTGTAGGTGTTTTTGTGTCAAATTTCCAGTGCTGATTTCCTCCTTGTTTGCGGTGGGGGTACCTCCAGGTGCTGGGACACCCACAAGACCAAACCACAGCCTCACTCTTTGGGGAGCAGAGGCCCCTAACTGAGAGTGTGGACAACAGGTTGAGGAAGAACCCCAGAAGGTGAACACTGGGGAAGGTCTGAATCTTCTGCAGAATGGTTTGGATGATTGAGGAACATGAAAATAAAGGAATGCATTAAAAACAGGGTTCAGGGCCCAGCACGGTGGCCTGGCAGTTAAAGTCCTTGCTTTGAATGCGCCAGGATCCTTTATGGACGTTGATTCTAATCCCGGCAGCCCCACTTGCCTTCCAGCTCCCTGCCTGTGGCCTGGGAAAGCAGTCGAGGATGGCCCAAAGCCTTGGGGCCCTGTACCCATGTGGGAAACCTGGAAGAGCTCCTGGCTCTTAGCTTTGGATCAACGCAGCTCTGGTTGTTGCAGTCACTTGGGGAGTGACTCAGCGAACAGAAGATCTTCCCCTGTGTCTTTTCTTCTCTCTTTATATATCTGACTTTGCAATAAAAATAAATAAATCTTAAAAAAAAAAACCCAACAAACAACAGGGTTAGATGTTGTGACACTGCAGGTTAAGCCAATGCCTGTGATATTAACATCCCATCCTGGATCGTGAGTTCAGATCCAAGTCCCTGCTAATTCACCTGGGACAAGCAGCAGAGGGTGGCCCAAATACCTGGGTCCCTACAACCCATGGGGGAGACCCTCTCAGAAGGGTTGGTGTGAACGATGTCCAGACAAACCTAAGAACAGTGCCTGTCCTGAGCAGCTGGCCCTGTGAGAAACCTACGGTCCACAGGGCGCTGGGGGAGTACAAGACAGATTCTCACCTCAAGGGGGGCAGTAGTGAGCCCTGAAGAGAGGAGAGCTCTTCCCCCAGCTCCCGCCAGGTCCTTTAGAATAGATCTCCAGAACAACCACCAAAAATCATCTGTTCCTAAGTAACTTAATGGAGTTACAGGACAAAGTTCAAGAATATGTACACGAAGACAAAACCATCCAGCAACAAACTAAGGATATACCTGCATCTTTAAGTGATGCATGTAATTGGAGTCCATTATAGAAGAAAAAAGAGGTTGAAACATACTTTTATTTTAGGGGCAAAGAGATAAAGGTTTTCTGTCTGCTGGTTCATTTCCCATATCCCCACAAAATCGTAGCTGACCATGTTGAAGCTGGGCACCCAGAACTCAGTCTAAGTCTCACTTGAGTGAAAGGGTCCAAGAATTTGAGGCATCATTTGTTGCCTTGCAGGTTGTATATTAGCAGAAAAAAAAGCTGTTTGACTTTTTAAGCAAACACAGATTTTTTTTGGAACAAAATAAATCTTTTCATATTTGCTTGAATTAGCACAGATACTCTACCCAACAGCAAAAGGAAATGATTATTACAACATGGAACATTTTCCAAGCGGAACCATATTCTGGACTTTGAAACAAGTCTCAGCTTGAAAGAACTTAAGTCATCTAGAGCATGTCTTCTTGCAAGAAAAGACGTTGCAGGAAAATAACCCTGCAGCTCAGTGTCTAAGTCATATGGCAGTGCAGTGTACAAGGGACAATCTTCCCCAGTAAATGTTACTGGGACAATTGGATGTCCATATTCAGAAATTTAAAAATTCAACATGTATGTCCTGCACAAAAAGTAACCTCAAATGCATTCCATACTGAAATGTAAAACCCAAACCTGTTCAATTGCCAGAAGAAAATATAACAGAAAAGGAAAACTTTGTGATGTGGTTAATCTAAGAGTTCTAAGCTGCAACATAAACACAATACATAAAATGATAAATGAATTAGGCGTCATTAGAAGTTTAGGCTTTTGTTTTTGAAAATGACTGTTAAGAGAACAACGGCAAAGATATAAGGACTCTCTAAAGCTTCATGGAAAATACCTATCATGAAAAGAACTGTGCATGGCTTCCAAATTTGTTTCTGTACCAGACTAAATGTATCTTTTAGTCTTATTTCCCACGGACTTTTAAGAGTACTTTCTCAACTGTAATTTTTAATCTCAGGAAGGACTTGTTCCTAGAATATGTCCTTTAAAACTTTCAAATACAACAACACAAAATAGTCCAATACAGATGGACAGGGGGTTTGAAAAGAAGACATAGTACGTGAAACATTACATCTTGTTAATGACGTCAAAACCACACAGATACAACTGTACGTCTGTCACAACGACCAGAATTGAAGATGATAAAGCGGCCCAAGCATTGGTGACAATGTGGAGAAAGTGTCGTTCACTCACCCCGTGGACTGTCGCTCAGCAGCACAAGGGAGCAAACCGATGAGATGTACCTGCATAAATGTGGACGCATTTCAGATAAGAGACACCAACTTCCCAGCCCACAAAAGCATACACACTGTGTGATCTCATGCATAGAAAACTCCATAAAACTCCAGCTATTCTGTAGTGACAAAGCAGGTCCCAGTTTGCCTGTGGTCAGCAGGGTAGGAAGGGGTAGGAGAGGCAGGTGGGAACACAGGGGAAATGGTGGGTATGTTGATTGTTTTGATTGTGATAATCATTTTATGGGGGCATGCATACGTCAAAACTTTTCAAAAGGTACCTTTTTTTTAAATTTATTTATTTTTACTGGAAAGGCAGATCAGATTTTACAGAGAGAAGGCGAGACAGAAAGATCTATCCACTAATTCACTCCTCAGATGGTCACAATGGCCGGAGCTGAGTTGATCCGAAGCCAGGATGCAGGAGTTTCTTCCAGATCTCTCATGTGAGTCTAGGATTCCAAGGCTTTGGGACATCCTCTACTGCTTTCCCAGATCACAAAGAGGGAGGTGGATGGGAAGTCGGGCAACCAGAATACATACTGGTGCTCATATGGGATCCCAGTGCTTGCAAAATGAGGATTTAGCCAATTGAGCAAAAAATTTACCCTTTTAATGTGGGTCATTTATTGTATGTTGATTATAGCTCAGTAAAGCCAGTTTCAGGTTACATAGAAGAATAAAAAGAGCAGGATTGTAACGAAAATATGGAGAGAATTAGAAAGTGTTTGCACTGTAGAAAGCTTCCAGCTCTTCAAAGTGCATCTGCCCATCTGTCATTTTATCCAGTTAGAAGCAATAACTCCTTTCTTTCTGAACCACCCAGCTTGGTATCGCCTCACACCGTGAGTGTTGTCAAATAAATCTGACGTTTTTCCATTGTCATTTGCAGAGAAAAGTGACAGAGGACGCCACATCCGGGGAGCCTCCCCTAGCGAGCCACAGTGAAAATACTAGCGACGTGGAGGTAGGGTTCGGCTAGAATCCGTGAGCCGCAGTTCCTCCCATCCCAGTGAAAGTGTGTCCTTTCTCCCTGCTTCTCTGCCTCTCTCCCGGGTCCCGCCCTTTAAGGACTTACTCCACAAACTTTCCCTACCCCGTTAACTTTTCACTGTAGTTACTCATTCTATATCCCTTGCTCAGCGCAAACAAGAAGTTATACTTTGTACATTTTATTTACCACGATTTCAATAAATACAGTTCCCCCCCACCACCACTTGCCATTGCCAAAAGACATTGTGGAGAGGCAAGACCCTTATAGACAGAGTGTTCTCCTGCTTCACGTCATATGCTGTGCGTAAGCATGTGTTTATAAATGAATGTACTTCAGAGAGTTCATGGAAATGGAACTAAAGGATGTTTATTTTGATGCAAAAAATTGAAATTCATGGACATTTTTTTTTTCAGTAACACACGTTTGCCGTGAGCTCTTTGAAGACCCTTTGTATATGTAATTTCAGAATTTTTATACCAAGGGACCAGCGTTACGGCTCATCTTGTAATGCTGCCGCCTGTTATGGCAGCAATGCTATGAGCGCTAGTTCCAGCCCCAGTTGCTCTGCTTCCCATTCAGCTGCCCTCGACTGTGCCTGGGAAACAGCAGGTGACTCTAATACTTGCTTCCCTGCCACCCAGGTGGGAGGCCCAGATGGAGCTTCTGGTTCCTGGTTTTGGTTTGGCCTGGCCATGGCTCTGCGGCTGTGTGGAGAGTGAACTAGCGACTATACTAGATCTCCGTCTTGGCCTGTTGCTCCCTGTCTGTAATTCTGCCTTTAAAATCAAATCAACACATAAAGCAAATATTTAAGAAATATTTGTACCAAAATAAGCTTATTTTCTAGGTTTTCATGAAGTTCCACAAACTTTTTTGGAAGTTTTTTTTTTTTCCTGATACACAGCATTGACATTTTCTTAATACTCTTTCTCTATAACTTTTGAAAGATTCTCCTGTTTTTGATCTCACAATTTTTTTTTGCACCAAAAATCAGTTTTGTGACCTTTGTAAAGTGCTCTCATGCAAACCTGCATTTCTGTGTCTAACATTCCTGTGCGTCTCAGGCTCCAGTGTCTGCTCTCTGCTCTCTGCTCTCCCTGGTGGAGGCCAAGGGGTGGCAGCATTCCCCCTGGACACTGTCCCCTGGGCCAGTGACCGTCTTAGGGCTCCTTCACCGTGTTTTGTTGGTTTCCCTCCCCATCCACACCTTTGCATGAGGTTCTTCCTTCCTCCTTTTCAGATTTATTTTCTTTATTTGTAAGAGTGATAGAGTGAGTGGGAGAGACAGAGAGAGAATGAGATTTTTTCCATCCACCAGTTCTCTCCCCACTAGGCTACAACATTCAAGCTGGGCCAGACCAAGGCCAGGAACCTGGAAGTCTGCCTGACTCACCTACATGGATTTCAGAGGCCCAAGTACTTGGACCATCATCTCCTGCTTTTCCAAGTGCATTAACAGGGAGCTGGATTGGAAGCAGAGAAGCCAGGACTTGAATGAGTACTCCATTATGGGGAGGCAGGCCTTGCAGGCAGGTGGCAACTTAGTGTGTTGTACCACATGGTCCGTGGGAATGTGCCACCTGTTTCTTGCCAGAACCGTGGGATGCAGGAGGAGATTAGCAGAGCTCCATCGACCCTACTCAGAGTTTTGGACTTCTCTTTTGGAGTAGGAAAGGTCACATAGGCGTGTCTGCATGGGAGATTGACATACTTGGATGTTTTCCTCGGTCTCTGGCAGCAGAGTGCAGGACCTTGAGCAGGTTTCCAAGGCCTCAGGGTGACAGAAAGTGGCAGGTTATGCACAGGTCAGCCTGTGGAACCTGGAGAGCCCATGAGGAGGGGATAGGAGCTGGGTGAGTCATAACCATGTGGACACACTGCAGTACTCGCCGAACAAGGATCCCAGACACGGGAACTCCACCAGAGGGTTAGACCGTCCCTGGCATTTCCTCCCCAGAGAATGGCCAGTCGAAGAATTGACACAAAATTCAGCAAGGGACGAAGGGAGCACCTTCCTATGCCTAGTGCCAATCTGGAGAACAAGGCCTGGATCCAGAACACCAGTGGACTTCCCTACTTTTCTCCTGAAGGAACCGTCTGCCCCTGTATGTAGGCAGGTGTTACCCTTGGGGTGGGGTCTGCTCCTGTGCCAGGGTAACTGCAAGGAAGAAATGAGTCTAGGAGCAGCATATTCAGCCAGAAAGAGATGGACTATGCAGAGCCAGGTCTATCACCAGCACATCCCAACTTACCTTGTGCTGTTGGGCCCCTGTCCCAGTCCTGCCAGCCACAGCCGCCAGTCTGTGCTATCTAGTGTTGGACTTGCAGAAGGTCAGACTCCTGGGTGGCTGTCCTCCAGGCCACCTCCAGCAGCCCAGCTCTCCCACCACTGAGCTGGGACAACTCTGAGACATGATCTCCCGGACTGCTGAGATCTCAGGATTGAATGCGCAGTGGTAACCCGCTCATCAGGGCACCCTGTGTCGGCCTTCCCTGCCTGCCTCCCCACTCCCTGAACTCCTAGCAGGGCTTCCTGCCCTGCTTCCCCAGGTAAACTATGGACTCTCAGTTCCTCAGACCAGAGTTTGCTTCTGGAAAAATCCACACTAAGGTGACCTGACCCTTGTGTGCTGGGGATGAGAAGGAGGGAGACGCAGTGGAGAGCAGTATTCTTTTTTTGAGAGTGACCATTCCCAAATGGGCTCCACAAAGATGTGGAGCGGGGAGACAGGCAGCCCCTTCCCTCGCAGCACATCTATCGACCCCCCCAGGGGGCATCTGGTTCAACAAGCTGGCTTGGCCTCCCATGTTTATTTCCTGTGCCTCCAGGAATAAACCCACTGAAATGACAGTAAAGGAATATAAAGGGCACCGACCTCCAAGGACCACAAGACAGACAGGAGATATTGGAAGATAAGCACTTTAAAAATATTTAGAGACAAGGCAATCGATGGAGCAGTTTACAGTGGCTTAGCGCAGCTGAGAAAGGTGAAACTGTAGTCTTTTTGAGGGAAAAGACGACCAGAAGCACATGAGTTCTACCCCAGGCTGAGGACCTGGGGGTCCTTGTAGGGCCTTTGTGAGGTAAGGAATGGGGCTAAACCCTAGGGGTCTGTGTGATGCATATTATATGGAGTGACCCCAACTCTGTGTCCCCTTACTGCATCCCCCACTCTCCACCTGGTTCACCCACCATGTTTCCTGCCACTGAAACAACCAGCCGATTGCTCTGAGAAATATCTGACACAGCTCCAGGCTCACTGGTGTCGTGGAGGACAGGGAAGAGCTGAGCCAGTGGAAGTCTACGTTTCCAATAGAAGAACCTGTGGCCCCTCGCCTCCCCTTCTGTTATTCTCAGAATAACAGAAGCCAGGTCTTTGTAGCAGTCTCCTCTGGCTGCTGTGTAAAATGACCATAAATCTGGCGGCTTAAACAGCCTTGATCTCTCACCATACTGTTGTAGAGGTCAGAAGTTTGAAAAGGGTCATGCTATGCTCAGATACAAGGGTAGCTGGGGTGTGTTGTTCTCTTGCCTTTGCAGACTCTTGTGTTCCTGGGCCTGTGGCCCCTGCCTTTCTCTTCTGAGGCAGCAGCTTAGCACCAAAATAAACTGGTGCTTTAATTTCACTTTTCCATTAACTTTTTTGAAGGGATGTCATGTCCGTTTACTACTATCTGGTCTAGCCTTAACCCAGTGATACGGTTAAAATATGCAGCCTGTATCAAAGGCCAGCTGAACACGTTAGCACGAGAACCTGTTTTAATCCTTTTATAAATTTGGGATTTCTTGGAGGACAGCTCATGTGAAATGGGCCTGGCTCAGAATGAATCGAGTTAGGTAAGTCACAGTATAACCTGGGGCCACTGAGAAGCAGGAAATGAATTAAAAAAAAAAAAAAGATCCCAATGATGCCTCCTCTCTTGATCCCGCAGGACCTGGAAATCACCAGTCAGCTGTCCACTGTGGATGAGCAAACCCAGTACCTGGTCAGTAGGAGCTCAACATATGGCTCACTGCGCGAGGAGCCCGGCTACTTCCGGCCCAGCTACAATGGTGCCCCTACCGCCTTTTGCATTCAGCTGTTCTGTATCGATGAGAAACATGCAGCAAGGCAAGTCCTCACCTTCAGGTTCTCTGCCACGGTGAAGAATTTCTTGTGGTGTTCAGCAGCCCAGCCTTTGGATTTTACAGGGCTAGTGGTTTGTTAACCTGCCTCAACCAGAAGGTTTTGAGGCATGTTTTATCTTACTATTTAATTTTAAAATATATATATGTATATATATATATTATTTATTTATTTATGATTTGAAAAGTAGAGTGATGGTGGCGGATGGGGGGGCAAGGGGGAGAGAGAGCGAGCGAGCACTTCTGACTGCTAGTTCACTCCCCGAATGGCTGCAGTAACTGGGAAACAGCCATGCTGAAGCCAGGAGCTCAGCATTGTATCTGGGTCTCCCACGTGTGTGGCAGATGCCCAAGTTTGTGAACCATCTTCCGCTGTTTTCCCAGGTGTGTTGGTGGGGAGCTGGGTAGGAAGCAGAGCAGCTGAGACTTGAGCCAGTGCTCTGATAATGGGGTGCCAGGGTCACCCCCTATAGTTATATTTAGTTGGGTATCTTTAGTTTGAATTTTTGAGAATGTGTTTAAACCATTGTCAATACCCCAGCCTCCCTTGGAAACCCTATATTTCATGTTTATCTTACTTTTTTGAAGATCTTGAAAGATTAGAAAGGGAATTATTTTGTGTTCTTGTTAAACTATATCATAGGCATTTTAAAAATTTACCTCTTTTTATCATTATCGTTATATGATATAGTTCCATAGGCCCTGGGATTTCCCTTATCCCCTCCCCAATTCTCCCCCCCCTACTCACTGAGTTCCCCTATATCATTACTAAAGTGTAGTTCTTAATACACAGTCATATGTCCATTATTGCGGGCATAAACGTTGGTAGAGAGTCCAGCATCCTATTGTCAAGATATAGTAAATAGTTTCAGTTAGAGTCTATCTTTGGAAGTAGAGATGCATATTGTATTGTATCCTCACATTTGGATGTGATAGTCTTCATTTCACTGTTACTGTACATCCCCTTAGTTGAAAAGCCACAATACAAAATCAACAACAGGAAGAAAAATAGAAATTTACAATGCCATGGAGTTAAATAACATGCTGCTAGATATGATAGTCTCCATTACAGAGTTACTAAACATCCCCTTAAATGAAAAGCCACAAAACAAAATCAACAACAGAAAGAAAAAAAAGAAATGAACAACACCATGGAGTTAAATAACATACTGTTGAATGACTAATGTGTCACTGAAGAAATGAAAAAGAAAATCAAGAACCTTCTTGAAGAAAATGATGCTACTGTATGAGCTGAGTCATTGAAGAATTTAATGAGAAGAAAGTGTTTTGAAGAGATGAAACTAACCAAGAAAAATCAAAATCCATGAGATACAGTTTCCACTTATCTTTGTTGGTGAAATGTGTCTCCTGTAGGCAACAAATAGATGGACTTGGTTTTTAAATCTAGTCTACTAATCTATGATGTTTGATTGAGTTTGAGCCATTTGCATTCAGAATTAATACAAATAGGTGGTAATTTGGTCCTGTCATTTAGCAATGGGTTGTTCATTGATTTAGTCTTCTGTTGTTATTTTATTGGGATGTTCTTTGTGTTTGCTTATTCCTTTTCTCTGTCAAGAAAACATCTTGAAGTATCATTTGTAGGGAAGGTTTGGAAGAGACAAATTCTTTTAATTTTTCTTTACTGTGGAAGAATTTTATTTCATTTTCAAAGATCAAGGAAAATTTTCGCTGGGTATGTTATCCTGGGCTGACAATTTTTTGCTTTTAGAATCTGGAATACGTCCCTCTATTCTCTTCTTGCCTGTAGAGTTTCCTGTGAGAGGTCTCCTTTGAGTTCAATTGGCATTCCTTTATATGTCAGTTGATTTTTTTCATGTGCACATTTAAGGATCTTTTCCTCATGTTCGATTGAAAAGAGCTTGATTATTATGTGTCTTGGTGAAGATCGCTTTTGGTCAACCCTGTTGGGAGTTCTGTGCCCCTCCTAGATGTTGTTTCCCAATTCTTTCTCCAGATTAGGGAAATTTTCCTTTATTATTTCATTAAATATATTTGTAAAGTCAGTTTTTTGTTCTGCACCTTCTGGGACTCCCATAACTGTTATATTTGGCCTTTTAATAGTGTCTTTCAATTCTTGAACATTTTTTTTACTCTGATCCAGCTCTGCTTCCAACTTTTTGTTTGTTTTCCCCTAGTGACAGGGAATATCTTCTAATTTTGAAATTCTTTCTTCTGCCTCATTCATTCTATTTTGGAGATCCTCCACTGTACTTTTAATTTGCTCTACTGTATTCTTCATTTCTGATATATCAGCTTTCATTGATTAATTTCCAGTGTGATGTATTCCTTAAATTCCTTGAATGCCTGCTTTTCATGCTTCTCATTGTTGATAAGTTTTATAACAAGTGTTTTGAATTCTGTATCCCCCATTTAATCAATGTCCTCGTCAGTGAATGCTGAGGTTGGCAAAGGATTTTGTTCCTTTGCAGGGAAGTCTTCAGTAATATTCAATGTGCCTTTGTCTCTTCTTTTACTCTTGGTCATTGTACTTCTGGTTATCAGATTCTTCTCCTTGGGGTAGGTTTCTAAGCTGTGTTATCCACAGGTCTACAATTCGATTTTACTTATTGCAGTTGGTACACGGTTCTTTGTTTGCAGTCACTTGTGCCACTCCCTCCAGCAAGTTCCAAGTCTGGATTCTTATGTTAGATTCCCACCATGATCTCCATAGCCCCAGCTCCTGTCTCATCAGTCTCCACCTCCTGTGATACTGTGCTAAGGCTCCACCATTATCTGTACAAGCTTTCTCCCACTTTGGTTGGAGCAGGATTAGGGAGTCACCAGGTATCCTATATATCTAAGTTGTTGGTGCTGCTGATCTTGCCAGAACTTGTTGGTCGTTGGGTCTGAGGGCCACACAGACCTATTTTGACTCGTACAATGCCATGGTCAGTATTATTTTCCTGTGGGACCAGGGCAATGCAATGAGCTCAGTGAGTTCTTGCCAAGTTCAGTGTGTGTGCAGCTCTCTGTTGTGTCCCCTGCAGTCTTAAACTTTTTGCCACACTATAAGAAATGGTGCCTGATACACCACTACTAGAGTTCTTGATCTGCTGGCCATCAGGTCTGAGGACTACCTGGTCCTGTCTTGGGTATAGCCTATAGGATGCCACGTTGTTGCAGTTCACTGAGCCAGAAATGAGTTCCCTCCCAGCTCAGTGCATGCACAGTCCTGCCCCATAGCCCTTGCCTCCTTAAACAAAATGGCACCTAATTCAGCTCTAGGAGGCTGACTGGGCTATGAAATCTACCCTGTTCCCGCACGGTCTGTTTGGGACCTGCCACTCTGTCTCTGCTCCTAGTCAAATCAAACTGACCAGCAGGACAGGCAGTTCTTTGGGTTCACCTCCGGAGCTCCCAATGAAAGTCCCTTCCCACCTGGTTGCTGGTGGAGTTCAGATCGCCACTTGCTAAATGCCGCTGGGGTATCAGTCACCACAACACCACACTGTTGTTTTCGCTGCTTTCCTGTGTCTGTCAGTGTCTGGATACCCCTCTGCTCTTGTTCTGTCCTCTCCTATTTCATGGAATGTGCCCGCTCTGCTTCACACTGGCTAATAGTTCTCCATCCATTTAAACATGTCAGTCCCCTATTCTGCCATCTTGATTCTCTATCTCTATCATAGGTGTTTAAAAAACCTTAAAGTCCTACTGGATGTGTTGTTTAATACTTATTTTCCCCTGTGTGTTTAGATAGGATGGTGCTTAAAATGTAGTTCTTAGATTTCCAGCTAGATATTTGATATCCCAGTTTGCTTGTTAATGCACAGCTGCATCTGGTCAGGAAATTTACTACATATGAAAGAGAAAATGACCAATAAAGATCGAAGTAGCTAACAATATGAGGCTGTGTAAAATAGTTCATGGGAAGTGTACTTTAAAAGGTCACTTTATTTTGATTTGTAAAAAATTGAAATACATGCATAGTTTTTAAATAATATTTTTTTCAAGAACTTTTTGATGAACTCCCCAAATACATGTATTTTTAAAGTTTTTGAATCAAAATCAACTTATTTTTAACTCCATTTCCTTGAATTTTTGGAGGATCCCGTATTACCACGTCTCCTCTTCAATGTGTCCAAAAAAGAAAGGAAAGGATCATGTACACAGGATCTTCGGTGTCAGCTTTTTTTTTTTTTTTTTAAGATTTATTCATTTTTATTGGAAAGGCAGATATACAGAGAGGAGGATCCTGGCACGTTCAAGACGAGGACTTTAGCTGCTATGCTGTCATGCCAGACCCGAGCTTTTTTTTTTTTTAACAATATATATTTTATATATTTGAGACTTATGCACACATGTAAGAGTGCCCCCTTCTTCCAGTTCACTCTGAAAGTTCTTGCAGTAGCTGGGACGGGGTCAGACTGAATCTAGGAAGAGGAAACGCACCCTAGGCCTCTGACATGGGTGATGGGGACTCTGCATCCTGGTCCTTCTGTCACTCGCTACCTCCTGTGATGCATATCAGTAGGAAGCAGGCATTAGGAAGGCCAATGTTTAAATCTCTAGACCAAATGTCTTCCCCACTGATACTGGCTTTTTTAATGTGCAGGAATTAGTAATTGCCATAAAATACTGTTTTATTGCCATAGGAAGTTTATGACTTATGCACCTGATTTATCGTTCGACTAGATACGAACTCTGAGTAGCGGTTAGCTAATCACTGCCCAAGGGGGAAAGCGCCATCAGTCTTTTCAAATATCCACCAGGGCTGCTCTTGTTTTTCAGGCCAATGACAATGCTTGCTTTCTTCTTTGCAGGTCACTGGATTTTATGAATTTCGTTTTCAGTCTTTTTCCTGTAAGTACATGAATTTTAAACAGTAGAATTGATATGTAGGCTGGAGAAGTTAGAGAAAAGTAAAATGCCATCTGCAGCATCCAGAAATTTCTAGCATTTGGAATGCTGCTTCTGTCTTCCCAAGTGTAAGGTCAGGTGGTCTGACCTGGACTCTTAAAAAGCAGGAAAGACTGTCATGTTGAATAATCCTTCTGTCATGCTGCTTTCCTGTCATTTCCTAAGTCCTTTCAGCAGTGGCATTAGCCGTGTTTTTCAGAAGAATAAAGGCATCCATGGTAGCTTAATGGAAGTGTCAGAAATGACACTAAAGTGAACCAGACAGCTGTGTGACATGATGGTTTACTCCGGCTCCGAGTGATTGCCAGGGTAGGAAGGTGGGAACTTGGGATTGATTTTTCAGGTTGCCATTCCACTTCCTGCTGACTCCTAAGCCTGACTCGGTGCCTAGCAACAAAAGAGAGACTCAGTGCCTGTTGGGGGAGCCAACATCCAGGTGCATTTCAGGGTATTTGGGTCATTTCCTCCACTTCCGTTTCATGGTGCCATGGGGTGGAGACTCCGGCCAACTTCTTAGGGTTTTATTGAAGGACAGAAAGTTGGGGGAGAAGGGCTGTGGAGGAATAATACACATTTTGATAAAGACTTCCTGGACTGGCCTGTGGTCAAGTCTGTGACTGTACATCTTCAGGTGGCTCATTTCAAATGTTATTTTCACAAGTTCTCTTTCTGCTGAGGCAAACCCAAGTACAGGTTACTTATCTGGAATCAATACGATCTGATCCCAGGTCTCATTTCATTTTTAAATGTAATCCTTTAGTATTGCAGTAGGCAATATGTACGTGTCTGAAGGCTATTTTTTTTTTTGGAAGTCCATAAAGCAATCCAGATCACGCTGAACGCAGGCTTGACATTGGCAGTTTTCCTCAATGATGTTTCAGAGAGATCTAGGTTTAATTCATTTTTATTTCAAAGTTTCAGCATTTTAAAAGTAGAGCTGGCCTTACAAACAAGTGAAAGATCTGTTTATATTTTAATTCTCATTTTGGGGGCACATGAGACAGGAACAAAATACCTGCATTACTTCATCCTTAATGCTTCAAATCCAACTTGAAGGGACTCATTAGTGGAAGTCTTCCCCTCCCAGAGGATGCCGGGGAGACTTGGCCCCCAGTCCATGTTGTCAGCTCCAGTCGTTTCAGCAGCTTGGCTCTCAAGGTCCTCAGAAAGGATCACATTATTTTGCTAGGAAGGAGGGAGATGAAGTCGAACAATGATTCACTCCCTCTGGGTTGCACAAGCATCCCCAGGGTTTTGGATTAACACAGGTTAATGCCTTTACAGGGTTCAAGGGGAGGTGAGATCCCAAAGGGACAAATTAACTCCGGGAAGAGCAGGCTGCCTGTGTGGGACCTGCGGAGACCTGGCTGAGGCTCAAGAGTCTGAGACACGCAGACAGCCTAGAGTAGGAGCCCTGACTGTGTACACAGCAGTCCTTCCCTCCACTATGTGAAAACACAGGAACGAGGAACCGATGCAATTCATGCTAATAATGTCCAACTCAGTGTGTCCCAGATTTAAATGTGTGATCTGCAGATTTAGATTTCATATTGTTGATGGTTGGCTTTGGTAGATTTCAGTTGCCAGATTCAGTAAGTGAATTCACACAAGTCCAGCAAAATATTTAAGTGAAAGCAAACAACCCAAAATTCAACTTTCAGTTTCTCAGTCACATGTGCTGTAGTCCAAATGCTCAGTGGCCAGATGTGGCCATTGGTCACCACAGGGGAGCATTTGAGTCTGGCCAGTCCGTAGCACCTGTCAGGACCTGTACCTGCTGACCAAGCCTAGTGCCAGGGTTCAAACCTTCCATTGATCTATTAGCCCAAGTGGGACCCGGGTCATGATCAAAGCCACATACATCCGTGTGTGGAAGAAGGCAAGATTTTAGAGCCAGCCAGGTCCTAGAGTGCCACCCTCTTATCTCTCAGGGTGGGGTCTGTGGCCAGCATAAGGTGACTCTTGATAGGACACGAGCTCTTGATAGGATACCTGCTACCTGGTGATGCAAACGAATTCACAAGTGCAGATGGCCTTCGTGTAGCAAGCTCCCTTCTGCCAGTTTGAAAAGGTCGCTCACTGAGGCTTCAGTTAGAAATTTTCACTATACCCTTGTATCATCTCCTTGAATTTGCTGTGCTTTCCAGCTCACAGGAGAGGTGTTTAGTTTAGTCCGAGTGTCCTGTCCTTCCTCAGTGGTTTCTGCTTGCGTCTTCCTTGGTCAGTGAGGGCAGGAGTTGGTTTATAGGCAAATGACATGATGCTTTTCTGTGTGTCTGATTTTTGGCCATTGTTAGGACAAGAACTTCTGCATCATTTCTCTGCCCCCCCTCACCCCGGAATTCAACCTCATCCAGAACTTCGTGAAGGCCGTGCCCTTCGACAGCTGCACCCTCCAGCAGGATCTCTACGTCTTTAGTAGGGCTGGATTGCTCAAGTAAGCAGGCGCGTGTGTGGCCAAAGTGCCACAACTGGCAGTGAGACAGAAGGGCACAGGCATGCGTGCCCATCCTAAGTGAATCATTAGCTTTGGAAATTGCCTTTTATTCTGAGCAAAGGACTTGATCACACGATTTTAACTAGTGCATGCGGGGAAAGAGTAAGATGAAGAATAGATGTGTCCTGGGACATGCTAAGAAATAGCACGGCTGTGGCATAATCAGACAGATCCCAAAGTGTACCCAGCTGACCGAGTGCAGTGCAGCATGAGAGCCATCAGAGGCCTGATCTAGTAAGAGCATAGTGTGCAAATGCATGTGAGCATGTGTCTACATGCATCACAACAATGTACGTGTCCCAATCAGAGGGCGAGGAAATGTTAGTTTGTCAGTGACGGCACAAACAGATACCTTTAAAATGCTCAACAGTAAAATAGATTCCCAGGGGATTAAAGAGGCAGATGCAAATATTGAAACCATAACAACTTAGAAATGTATCCACAGTGCTAGATTGTGTGTGCCGTTCCTGGGAGTAAAAGGGTGAGCAGCCTGTTCCACACAAGTGTAAAAATTTTTTTTAAAAGATTTATTTATTTATTGGAAAGTCAGTTATACAGAGAGGAGGAGAGACAGAAAGGAAAATCTTCCGTCCAATGCGCAACGGTCGATGCTATGCCAGTCTGAAGCCAGGATCCAGGAACTTCTTCTGGGTATCTCACATGGATGCAGGGTCCCAAAGCTTTGGGCCATCCTTGACTGCTTTCCCAGGCCACAAACAGGGAGCTGGATGGGAAGTGGAGCTGCCGGGATTAGAACCAGCACCCACATGGGATCCCGGTGCGTTCAAGGTGAGGACTTTAGCTGCTAGGCCACGCCGCCGGGCCCAACAAGTGTAAAATTGCAGCCAGCTGAGACAGGAGGAGCCAGCAACAGGTGTGTGTGTTGTTGGGAGGTTTGGTCCAGTTAGAGGAAGGTCTGTTGGGGAAGATGTGTGTATGGATCGCTATAGGACAATCGTGCAAGAAGATTGGTCTTATTATGTCCCAAAAGGTTTCTAAAGAAAAGATGAAAAGAAAAAAAATGAAGATCTTCCTTGCCTTTTAAAGTTTTTGACCACACTCAAAAGCAACTAACAGAGATTTTTTTGGTTAAGATTTATTTATTTATTTATTTATTTAAGAGGTAGATTAGATTTATGGAGATAAGGAGAGACGGAAAGACCTTCCTTCCACTAGTACACTTCCCAAATGGCCTCAGTGGCCAGAGCTGAGCGGATCCAAGGCCAGAAGCCAGGATCCTCTTCCAGGTCTCCCACATGGGGCAGGGTCCCAAGGCATTGGGTCATCCTCTACAGCTTTCCCAGACCACAAGCAGGGAGCTGGATGGGAAGTAGAGCAGCCAGGACATGAACTGGCGCCCATATGGGATCCTGACATGTGCAAGGTGAAGATTTAACCACCAAGTCATTGCGCTGGGACCTAACAGTAATTTACAGTAATTACTGCAGGTAAAAGAGTGGTATATTTGATGTAGCAGGAACTTTAAGGAATCACACACCACCCAAGCAGGAAATCTAGCACAGCAAAGCCAGACTGCACATGCAAGAAGTCAAAAAGTCCACAGGTATTTAAAAGTATTGGTTGCCTAATCAGAAGAAAGTGAAGCAATAACAAGACATTGATTTTGGTCAATTGGCAAGAATTAAAATGTAGAAATGCTCAATTCTAATGTGTTATAGTATCATTTCATGACATTTCAAAAGAACGCTAAAATAGCTTATACCTTTGACCTTCAGCACCATTGCTAGAAATCTAAGAAGTAAATCAGAATGCATGTGAAAACTAATGCTCTGTGAATTTTAAAGTAGTGATCATACCCTCTATTTGCAAAAGCAAGAAAACATGCATGACTCAGAGTACTTGATAGTCAACAAATGTTCAGTGTAGGCTAAACAAACAAAAAATAAAACCAAAAAAATCAACATATAAAGCAGTATTTGAAAATGATCTCCTACACAAAGAGAGACATATCTTCTATCCTCTGGTTCACTCCCCAAATGGCTGCTGGGTCTGAGGCAGGACATAGGCAGGAATTTGGAACTCCACTAGATCTGCCACAAAGATGACAGGGACCGAAGTACTGGAGCCATCTGCTGCTGCTTTCCAGGTCAGCTGGAAAGTGGATTGAAAGTGGAACAGCTGGGACTGCAGCCTGAACTCATATGGGATGCCAGCTCTGGGACTCAAACCAGTAGCTGCTTAAGCTGCTATGCTACAACTGCAGCATCCTTTTACATGTTTAAAATGTCGATTAATGGTGAGGGTGCTTTCACTTGGAAATGGAGCAAACCCCAAATCACAGTGACTTCAGCCATCAGGAAGTCCTTGGCTTACTCAGGTAGGAAGCCTGAAGACAAGATAGGCTGAAAGATCTTCATTGTCTTGGGTCTTGGGCCTGTTGGCTCTCCCCGCTGCCTGCTCCCACATCCACACCATTCCAGAACTGGCTTCCATCACACTCGCAGCTGTCTGCTGGGGTGCAGGCTCACAGACTGTGCCTGTGATCAAGAGAGCACTGGCCCATGGGGACTGTTCTTTCCCAGAGGCCCTCACTGCTGCTCCTTGTTCATTAGCTGAAACCCAGAGCCTTGACAGTGTCCATGTGGTGGCCTCATTCGGAGTGCCAGGGAGAGAGAGGGAGGGAAGACCCAGAAACCTTGCTCTCTTGTGACCTGGGCCCCAGTTGGAGCAGAGGAAGGTAGGAAGTGCCTTCTGTTGTGTGCAGCAGAGAAGGGCAGGTGTGGAGAATCCAGAAGGTGAGAGGATTAGAAGACCTGAGCTGGAAGAAGAGCTGCCAACCTTCCCAGCCACACAGGAGAGGCGGTTGCTGGGAAGGTGTGGGGCTTCAACACCTGTGATATATTTTTTAATCCCATAATTAAAAATAAAGAAATAAATGGGTCTCATGCTTCTCAGTTTTTGCTTCACTTCAGTTGACATTTGGAATGAATGATTCCTGCTCTTAAGTTTGGTTGCTTTAAATTCCATGACCTCACATCTGGTCTCACGCCTAATTTTGTTCTTCTTCCCTCGGGAAATTATATTTGTGTCAGTCATCTGCCCTCAGGCCACGCTGGTGAGCACTGGGACAAATAACTCATTCCATTGTTAAGGTGGCTACTTCTTCTGTCAACAGAGTCCATGCCCAGGGTCCCCTCCCTCAGCCCAGCACCATTTGCTCCTAAGATGAGAACATCTACTGATGATCATGCCAATTTTTGTGTTAAATATGGATACATTCAGTGCTGCCTTTAAAAAAAATTGTATTAATCTTACTTGAAAGAGTTACAGAGAGAGAGAAAGAGGAATCTTCCATCTATTGGACCACTCCCCGGAGGCCACAGACACCAGAGCTAGGCTGAGCCAAAGCCAGCAACCAGGAGCTTCTTCTGGGTCCAAGAACTTAGGCCATCCCCTGCTTCTTTCCCAGACCATCAACAGGGAACTGAATGGGAAGTGGAGCAGCTGGGATGAGAACCAGTGCCCGTGTAGGATGCCAGCTCTACAAGCAGAGGATTAGCCTGATATGGCACCATGCAGATCCTCCCTTCTTTTCTTCTTCGCCTCCTCTTTCCTCCTCTCCTTTTCCTTCCCTTCCTCTGCCATCCCGTGCTTTTTTTTTTTTATACACACTTTGACTTCACAGCATGGTCTCTAGGGTGTTTCCCACTCAATTTAATGTCAGTGGGTGGTGTAAGGCTTCCTTTTTGTTTCCTGCCACGTGCCCATCCTGAATCTTCCTGTTGGCATCCTCTTGCTAACTCACCAGCAAAGGACACCTTTGAGTGCCCTGGCCACTCCTTCCATCTGGCTGCCCTTCCAAACTGTGCTGAATTATTCCTCCAACTATTATCTTTTGTGCTGGAAGTTATTTTCTATAAGTGAATACTGGTGAGTTAAAATGACACAGCCTGTTGTCATCTTAGCCCAACAAAGGCCCGGGTGGTCGGCCTCTAAATGACCCTTCCCCTCGAGGTGTTTGTTTTCCGTGTTCTACTGTTCACTGATACCTCTTGGAGGCCCATTTTGTTACACAGAATATTCTAGTGGTGTCAATACTCTGCACCACCTGCTTTCAGTCACAATCCTTGGATAGAACCCAATAGAAACATCATTTAAAAAAAAATTGTAGTTTTGCCTGTACTGCTTTATTTGCCTGTTTAAGATGAAATGAGGATTCCACAGGTGCTGCATGAGCCCATTACATAGCTCACACCTTTGGATTTCAGCAGACTCAGGTTACTTTTGTTAGCATGTATTAATATCAAAAATTCATTCCACTTTATTTTCTTGCAAGGCAACCTGACCATACCACACATGGATACTTGTAGGTGTCTTATCTCATTTGCCTTGGAGTTGAAAAGGTCGGCATGAAACAGTCATGCCAGGTGCCTGGCCTGGGAAGGTGGGCATCAGGTGTGCATGCCCGTGTGGCCACCGTCTTTTGCAGGCATTCCACATCAGAAGTCTGATGTGTGAACATGCAAGGCAACTTGGTTTCTTGGCTGCTTATGTGATCCAGTGTGATCCAATGTCGTGATAGGTGTTGGTGCCATTTTCATAGATTCTTAGTGAAAATCCCTCCTCTTTATGATTAGGAGCCTAGGTAAGGAACAGCTGGCTGCCAGCAGTTCAGCAGTAAGCACCGTCTCCTTTGGATGGATGCACACGGGAATGCCACCCTTTACTCCGTTCACTTTCCTAGATGCTCTTCAAATGCATCAGCGAAACAGCCAGGACATACACCTGTCACTGTGCTTCTGATAATTTTCATAATCTTTCAGGTTTTTTGTTTGTTTGTTTGTTTTGCTGTAGATCGCCTCTGCGATCTCATTCCAGTTAAAGCCAAAACAAGCAGGCTGCTGTTGCTGGTACCTGATAGTAGAGGCAGCAGTGTGTACAACAGACACCTTGCCTTGGAGTCTGCAGGCAAAGGAAAAGGTCTCCTGGGGACAAGCCTACATTCTGCTCTCTGAGCTGAGTAAAAAGTGTCTGCTGTTAGAGGCCAGTGTGGACATGCAGGCTAATACCACCATTGCTAGCCAGTGAAGACATTGCGGGCTGCTTATCAAGAGGAGGCTGAGTTTGGACCCAGATCCCTGGAAGGATGGAACTGTGGGTGGCATGATATGGTGTAGAAGACTTCTACATAGTTCTCACTTGGGGTATGAATTTGGATTAAACTAATCTAAATTCCCTTCAGTGTTTAGAATCTTTTGTCTGATGCCAGGTTTGAAGAGAGAGAGAGAGAGATGTTGAATTCTACCAGTATGATGGCCAGTTATTCAAATTCCTCTTATAACTATACACAGATGTTCTGCAGTTGTATTGTTAGATGCCTGCAGATTTGATCTTCTTAGTGAATTTTTGCTTTTATCATCAAATAAAGACCTTCCCTGTCATAATGCTTTGGCTTTAAGAGCTAATTCACCTAATGTTTATGTATGGTTGTGCCAACTTATTTGGTTGTTGGTTTCTATTTCTTTCTCCTTTTCAAGTTTCCACACATACATACATAAACATATATTCGCACATATTTACACACAAATATATACATATATTACTATTGAGATGTAATTCACATATATACTATATAATATATATTAATATATTGCCTATGATGCTATAATATATATAATAACTTTTTGAAGATGCTATTCACACACTATTCAGTTCACCCATAAAGTGCACAATCCAGTGATTTTTAGAGTGCTTAAAGTATTGCACAACAATTAATTCTATTTGATTCCAAAGCGCTTTCACTACTTCACAAGATACATACACTCCAGTTCTCTCCTTCCCCAAACCCCTGACAAACACTGATTTACTTTTTTTTCCAAGGATTTATTTTATTTTTATTGCAAAATTAGATATACAGAGAGGAGAGATAGAGAGGAAGATCTTCCATCCGATGATTCACTCCCCAAGTGACAGCAACTGCCGGTGCTATGCTGATCAGGAGCCAGGAACTTCCTCTAGGTCTCCCACGCGGCTGCAGGGAGACCTTGGGTTGTCCTCGACTACTTTCCCAGGCCACAGGCAGGGAGCTGGATGGGAAATGGAACTGCCAGGATTAGAACCAGTGCCCATACGGGATCCTGGCATGGTCAAGGCGAGGACTTTAGCTGCCACAATAGGCTAGCACACCAGGCCCAACACTGATCTGCTTTTAAAACATTTAGTATGTATGGAATTCTGTCATAATGGTCTTTTGTGTAGAGTCCCCTTTAGTGAGCATACTGTGTAAGTTTTACTCATGTTTGAGCCTGTATTAATATTTCATTTTCTTTTATGGTTGAATAGTATTCCATTGTTGTATATGCATTCATCAGCTTAGCATTTGTCAGCAGATAGAAATACAGGTTGTTTCCATCTTTTAGGCTATATGAGTAACACTGCTATGAACATTCATGTACAATGTTTTGTATAACCACATGTTTTTAATCCTCTCGAATATTTTCCAGTACATTTATGGTGTTGTCTTTATATGTGTGCATTTACATCTTCAGATTAGATTAGAATGTGCCATGTCAGAACCAAGTACTTTTGCTTAAAAATTACTTGTAAAACACATCATCTTTTTAACCTGGTCATTATCGATGTAGATTATTCTTTGCAATTAAGGAAACATGCTTTCAAATCTCTGTACTGATAATTCCTTGATTAGAAATTGCTCAGGTTATTTTACTTTGTTGACCTTAGGAAGAGTGTCACTGTGCTTATTTAGTTCATAATGAATGAAGAGAGAGAATTCAATGCAAAACCAGATACATAACCTGTGGAACCTATTACACAATGAAAGTGTGGGGCTCTGACCGGGGCTGGGAAATGGACATTCCCTCCCATGTGCCCTCTGTCCCAACCCTCAGCAGACAGGCCAGCTCCAAGGGCTTGCAGCACACTGTCATCCAGATGGGAAGTAGGCAAGAGGCTCACACCGAGTGTGTGGCTGAATAATATCACCTCCCTGGCTTCCCAGGGTGGGTCTGGCCACCCCTGTGTTATGAACAGAGGTTCCAGGGGTCCCGTGCCTAACCCCAATCCCTCTCCATGCTCCGTGTCCAGAACTGCACTGGGGTTAGGGCTGATGGCCTGGCGGACCCTCACCTTCAGCCCCCAGTCGGGGCAACCCATTTGTCACCTCTGCTAAAAGGAGGTGGCAGTAGGGGGGAAAGAAGCCCCATGAAACCCACAGTATCTGGAACACAGAGCAGATGGGAGGGAAGCTATCGCACAGAGACAGTGAGAGATGAGAAGGGTTACAAGAGAGTCAAGGTTCCAAGTTCCAGGTCATGCTCACTCAGTTTTACTCAAAAAATCAGGGACCTGTGCAAGGACTCAACATGACTAATCCTCCATCTTCAAGTACCAACATCCCATATGGACACTTGTTCTAGCCCTGGCTGCTCTACTTCCAACCCAACAACCTGCATAGGACTTGAGAAAGCAGCGGAGAATGGCTCAAATCCTTGGGCTCTGGCACCCACATGGGAGACCCAGAAGAAGCTTTGGCCGTTGTAGCCATTTAAAGAATGAACTAACAGACAGAAAATCTTTCTCTCTGTAAATCTGCCTTTCCAATAAAAATCCCCTCAAAATCAAGGATAAGATTATTATGAATTAAGGCAGTGATCTCAGAACATCAAATCTGCAGTGTGAGGCACCTCTGGACAGCTCCCTCGGGCACACACTCATGAACCCAGTATAATTTCTTAGCACTGCTTATACATCTGGGAGAGTTATTGGCTCTACATATGGAATAAATATGGAATAAAGCATGATGGTGAACATTTTAAATTAAACGCACTTGAGGTGTCACTGTGTCGTCTTTAATGGTTCATGGTATTGTCAGTGACTTTTAAGTTCCATTTTGCAATTGTGAATGTGTTTTCAAGGTTTCTAGAAACAAATGACTTCTATAGTTAATCAAGCCTCGCTGCTTTATACAGGTAGGGTTTTCAAAAAGTTTGTGGGAAGCAGAATTGAAAGAAAAGTCTGTTTTGTGCAAAAAAAAAAAAAAGTATAGATGCATATGAGTTGTTCAGAAAATCCATTGAACAGGTCATGGTGTTACAAATAGTGCATGGATTTAAAAAATGTGGACAGCAAAAATAAACTTTTCATTTGATTCCATTTTCCATGAACTGTTTATGGAGTCCTCATGCATGTTGCTGGATAGTATTTTATGTACATGTAATAATATGTTACAATTCTGTCTCCATCTTGGGGAGAATATATCGTTCTATCGTTCAGTGCTATAACCTAAAAAGACAGTGTGCTTGTCTCCTGCCGCAGGTCCATTGAAATAAGACTGGCTGCCCTGAGGGATACTCCTGGTGTGGAAAACCTTGTCAGGACCCTCCTGCTGAGCAGGAGCCTTCTGGAAGATCTGGCCCAATACAACGAGGCTCGCCGAGATCCTGTAAGCACCTGCTGGGAGCAGACCAACATGGGAGCATCCGGGGTTCTCTGGTGGTCTCAAGGGTAGCTGTTGGATACTCCTTTAAAAGCCTGAAACCTAGAAGTTACATTCCAGGGTGTTTGTTCCTTTTTTTTTTTTAAGGTTTATGCATTTATTTGTTTATTTTGAGAAATTTGTTTTTATTTGAAAGGTCGAATTTTAGAGAGAAGGAAAGACAGATCATCCATCCACTGGTTTACTTCCCAAATGGCCACAACGGCCAGAGCTGGGCCACTCAGGAGCTTCTTCCAGGTCTTCCACCTGGCTACAAGGCCCAGGGACTTGTGCTCTCCTCTGCTGCTTTCCCAGCTCATTAGAAGGGAGCTGGATCAGAAGTGTACCCACTGGGACTCGAACCAATGCCCGTGTGGATTGCTGGCACTGCAGGTGGAAGCTTAGAATTGCCATACCACTATTGCCATTTATTTGAAAGGCAGAGTTTACAGAGAAAGAGGGAAAGAGAAAGAGAAAGATATTTCATCCTCTGGTTTGCTCCTCAAATGGCCTTAATGATCAGGAATGGGCAAAGCTCACACCAGGAGCCAACAACTTCCAGGTCTCCCATGTGGGTGCATGGGTCCAACCACCTGAGCCATCCCCTGCTGCTCTCCCAGGCACATTAGCAGGGAGATGGGTAGGAAGTGGAACAGCTAAAACATGAGATGGCACCTCTATGCAGTGCTGCTTACTGTGCCACAGTGCCAGCCTGCAAGGCATTCCTTCTAGAGAAGCGAGACCTTGGACATAGATTGGCCCAGGTTCCCTTCAGCAGGTGAGTGGCTGCATGGTGGCATTTGCATGCCAAGGAGTACTACTCAGTAGTGACAAGCATCACCTGTGTTTATGTCTCCAGAAAAGTGCCCCAGTGTAAGAAAAGCCAACTCCTGTATGTACTGTGTGATTTCACCTGGATGGCTTCTGGGATGAAGCCATTAGAACCACATGTTAGAAATACAGAGCAGATTGTTGCCTGGAGCTTCAAAGCCCGGGAGGGAGCTGAACATGGCTGTGAAAACGTAGCCCAGGGACACTGTGTCAGGACTAGAGAGGTGCCTATCCCGATGCCAGGGGCACTGTGATCCTAGAGGACTGCACATGCACACAGCTACATGGTTACCAACACAAGTGGAATTTGATATATACACACTCTTCTGCTAGCTGTATCACACTCTAGTTTTTTTGCAAAATGTTACAGGTAGAAGATACCGGGTAAACTGAGCAAGGATTTTACATATCTCTTAGAACTGCATGCAAATCTATAGCCTCACTTAAAATGTCAGTATAAAAAAGGAGAGAAAAAAAGGTTAGTTTTATTGAAGAATATACTTGAAGAAGCAATAAGACTGTTAACTTTTGTGAAGGCCCAGCTCAAGTCCATGTACACCTGGCATTTGAGTCTGGCACAATGAGAAACATGTGTGACGCATTTCAGCGGCATCTTGAATCAGGTGTATTGTTACAAGAAAAAGAAAACTGTCTTCAGTTGTTGGAGGGTTGGCTGCTGAGGCAGCTGTGTCTTCATGGGACCCTGTTTTTACTTGAAAGGACAACCAGCAGGCAAAATGTTGTCATGTTGCATTTGGATAGCTGGCAGACACTTGGAAAAATGAAAGAGATGAGTTTGTAAATCCCAGACAGCAACTGACAGCTTTTGTTCTCTGATAAAATCCAAACTTCTGAGAAAAAAAAATCATAATGGGACGGCCAGTGTCTGTCCTTGGTGAGTTTGACTTCTCAATACTTATATGATTTTTATTAATTTTTGATGAGACAGGTGGTGATATTAACCAGGGTGCTGTTTGACATTTTGTGATGAAATGGGTCAACATTTGGAAAATTTGCTTAGCTTCTGAACCAGTATTTTCTAGATAAAAATGCACAGTGAAGCAAAAGCATGCACAGGTAAAGAGATTCATTCAGAGTACAAAATAGACTACTGATTTTTTTTTGAAAAAATATTTTATTATTTTACTTGAAAGTGTTGAGAGAGATCCCCTATACACTGGATCATTCCCCTGGTGGTCTCAACGGCCAGAACTATAAGCAGGAATCTGAATTGGAAATGGAGCAGCTGGGACTAAGCCAGCGCCCATGTGGGATGCTGGCACTACAGAGAGGGGATTAGCACACTACAGCACCAGACCAGTGAATTTTAACATAGTGGTGTACCCCAAATTCACTGACGTGGTTCCAGGTGTGACATTGCTGTCTGTGCCCAAAATGTTGCCACTTGCTGATTTTTGCCGAAGTGTCAGAGTATCTGTAATTATCTAAAGAGGCTATTGAAATACTTCTCCCATCTCCAGTTGCATGTCTTTCTGAAGACAGCAATTTTTTTCCGTATATTTTAACCAAAACAACATGTTGCAACAGATGGAAGTACAGAAGCAGATAGGAGAATCCAGCGATCTTTCATTAAGCCAGACATGAAAGAGATTCTCAAAAATCCAGAGCAATGCCACTCTTTCAAATATTTTTGTTGTGAAAAAATGTGTTTATTTTAACTAATAATACAATTTATTAGCATGAAATGTACTGTCATTTATAAATGAAGCAAAAAGTGTGAAATTTTGCTTTAATCAAAAAATGGAACAAAAGTCAAAATAATAATTTTCCGCTCAGAATTGCTATTTCAGAGACTAGCTTTAGACACTACAAACATAAACCAAAGCTCTTTGGAATCTTCAGCATAGGGGTTCTTGAGGTCCTACAATTTGAGAATCACTAAAGAAGCCAGATTCTGAGTGCAGAAAAGGGACTAGGGTTTGAGTCAGGTTCCTTCCTTGGCAGGAGGATCTCTGGGCAAGTTGCTCAGCCTCCCAAGCCTTGTTTGCTCATACACAAAGCAGATGCAACAGCAGAACTGACCTCAGAGGGTTGGGTGTCGATGGATGGGACCCACAGGGAGGGCATTGTGTTCAAAGACCATCCTGGTAGGTGCTGGCTCTGTCATTGCCATTTTGCAATTAGTGGTAAAAGCCACTGCGGACGGCTGGCAAACGTGTGGGGAGTGATGTTTGTGTAGGGATCTCCAAATGCATACTTATTTTTTCAGGATGGAACACCTCTGCAGGCATTCGTGGCCGAAGTTGCAGAAGAAATTGTTGGTATTGCTGTGATCAGAAACGAAATGGTAAGTGGCAAGATTAACCTTGATCTCTGGGTGGTGCCTGGCACCTCAGGAGTTGGCATGCAGTGCCCCCTCTGCAGGTCTGGTGCTTCCTCAAAGTGGAGGCTCCTCCCTTTGAAGCATGTAGTCATAAGCATTGCTTGCATCCTATTTGGAAACCTTTCGGTTATTTTTTGCAGCCTAAAATGAGTAAAATATTGCAAAGAATGGAGGAAACTTCCTCACCCTGAAAACTCAAGTAATCGGCCACTTTGTGTATACTTAAACATGTGCACGCACGTGTGTGTGAGTGTGTGTGTGTGTCTGCCACTGGTCACTCCGCAGGGCTACTATCATTAGGCATTTATCCTTTCCAGTGTCCTTCCTTGCACTCACTGATCTCCAGAAAGGATTAGCCTAGGGGGTCAAGTTTTTCTTGCCAGGCAAAGCTGCCTGCAAGGTAGAACTGCCTAGCGTGTTTTTTTTGTGTCCACAATTTCAAAAAAGCATTTTAGGTTTTGTTTGTTTATTTCTTTTTTTTAAGATTTATTTTTATTATTTTTTATTGGAAAGACGGATATACAGAGAGGAGAGACAGAGAGGAAGATCTTCCGTCCCATGATTCACTTCCCAAGTGAGCGCAACAGCCGATGCTATGCCAATCCGAAGCCAGGAAACTCTTCCAGGTCCCCCACGCGGGTGCAGGGTCCCAAAGCTTTGGGCCATCCTTGACCGCTCTCCCAGGCCACAGGCGGGGAGCTGGAAGGGAAGCGGGGCTGCCGGGATAGAACCAGCGCCCATATGGGATCCCAGGCGTGTAAGGCGAGGACCTTAACCTCTGCGCGTTGTTGCTTTTGTTTTAAGGAATTGGGGGTGGAAGGGCAGTTAGCCGCACATGCCCATCTGTTTTGGGCAGATCAACTCTGTTGGCTCTTGACTTTGCAGTGGTCGCTGTCAGGTTTTACCCTGTTGCTGGTTCCATTTTATCAGGAAGAGATGTCTCCTGGATCATTAAGAAAGTCCTAGGGTGGCAAGGCCATTACAGGGTCTCTGTGGTTGAAAAATGGTCGGAATTGTGCTGTGGGCACAACCTCTGGCGTGACAGCCTGAACCTCATTTCCCCTGTGCCTGCTAGCAGAAGCCGAGAAGGCCAGGGAGCTTGAGGGGCGTGGGCACAGATGTCACAGTGCATCTCCCAATTTCTCTTCTTCAAAGTGTGCTTTCGCTGTGGAAAACAAGAAGAAATGGACGTCAGTGTTTTTCAGTCTGTTACAGGATCTGATGTTTCTGAAATATGTGTACTTGCAGTCCTCAGTGGGCAGGAATGAAGTTTCCTGTCATCAGAGAGAGAGTCACTGTCGCTTCGGATTGCACCCCTCCTTCCCCTCCCTGGGCAGTGTGCATGATGAGGTGGGTGGGGAGGTAAAGCAGGACAGGGCAGAAACGATGTGTGATCAGCAGAGGTGAGCCCCTGGTGCCCAGGGCAGTGTGGGGCGACAAAGGGTGGGACCAGTGCTGGGCCTTTGGGAACCATGCGCCCCAGATTTCCTTTCACATGTAAATACTCACCAGCCCCCTAAACTAGCTTCAACTGCATAAAAACATTGTTCATCACAGAATGGCCCAGACGAGGCCGTCTCCCAGCCATGTGCCAGTCCAAGCATGTGCACTGTTGGACGGTACCTTCCCAAATGGCTGAGAGTCCAGGAAGCACCAGGCTAACAGTGAGAATGACGTGGTAAATGACAGGAGAGAAACACACTTGTCTTGCTATTGTTGTGCAGTAGTGCAGTCAGCCGTGTGGCAGAACACATGTGTAGCTGGTCTCACACCTCTTTCCCTGACTCTCGCCGTAGGACATAGAGTACATCCGGTCACACTACAACATTGAAGATTTCATCTACTTCAGTCACCACCAGCGAGAAGAGCACGGGCACTTGTACCACTTTGCCCTGAACCCCATCTTCCGGCACTACACAAAGTTTTTTCTAAAGGAAATCCTTCGCTTAGGCTACAAGTCATGTCTCTACTACCCGATTTATCCACAGAGCAGAGAAGGCAAGGTGAGGGCGTGTGGTGACCCGGTTTCCCAGCAGGGTGCCTGTGGGTGGGAGATTGCATTTGGCCTCTTCCTTGTTGGGTGGGTTTTTATTATAACAGGGACCTAGATTTTCAGCAGCCCCTTGGAGTTCGGCCTTTTTCTTAGGCTACAAAGCCCAGAAAGCTCTGAATTTCTAAGACGGTCACAAATGACATAACTAATAGAGCAATTTGTTGGCTTTTCCATATTGACAAAACAGAAACTGAAAGCTTTGCAAAAAAACACAAAAAGGGCCCTTAAGAAACATGAAAATCAGGTTTTTCTTACAATGGAGTGCCAAAATGATCCTGCTGTGTTCCCTGAGGTGAGGGACTTTGAGAAAAGGACCCACAGGATAGATGATTTCTGTTCTGTAAGATTAGTGTGGCTCTCACGGCATTCCAACTAAGTATTATAAGTTCCCCATGAAAGTGATGGCTAGAGATGGGGCTGTGCAATCTCACTGTAAGCTTTGTGTAGTGAAGACCATGGACACTCCATACGGTACTTATTCTACTTACATGGAGTGATAGTGTTGTGATCAACATGCATTGCGTGCACGCTGTAGCTCTGCTACCTGCACAGCTAGCAAGCACTGTTGTCTTCCTGCCTTACCCCTTTACACGCCTCCCTAGCTAAGCTGACATGTTTGACCATGAAGGATGAGGTGCTCTTTTGTCTTGTTCGGAGCTGGTTCCCCAGTGCCTAGAAATCACTAACACACACACACACATTCTACTTAACCACACACCTACATTCACTCCTCAAATGGCCATATGACTGTGACTGGCTCAGGCCAAAGCTAGGAGCCTGGAACTTCATCCAGGTTTCCCACTTAGGTGCAGGGGCCAAGGACTTGGGCCGGCTTATGCGACTTCCTCAGGCACATTAGCAGGGAGCTGGATTGGAAGTGGAACAGCTGGTACTCCAACAGGCACTCATGTGTTGGTATTGCTGGCAGCAGCAATGTCCTAACTTGCTGGACCACAATGCCAGCCTCCGTTTATTTGATTTTTTTTTTAACTGAACAATCTGAAGTGTGTTTGTACATATATATATATATAACAATAATTTTGCCAATGTGTCTTATTTAGTAACAGCATTTTGAAACATTGTGGAGAAAATAGGGCAAGAAAAAAAACATAAGATTTTCACCGAGATGTAGTCTCTGGGGATTTTTTTCTTCTAATCAAAGGGCAGTACGGCTGTCTGGCCTAGTAGTTAACGAGTCATCTAAGATGCTGGCATCTCACAGTAGAGTCCCTCAGTTCCACACTAGCCTCCCATTCCTGACTCCAGCTTCCTGCTGATGCAGACCCGGGAGGCAGGGGTGATGATTCAAGTGATGAGGTTCCTGTCACCCACATGGGAGACCTGGACTGAGTTCCAAATCTCCAGCCCCTGCCAGTGTAGTCATGAGGAGTGACCCAGCAGGTTGGAGATCTCTCTTTTTTCTCAAATAAATATATTTTCTGTAAATGCAGCGTGATAGCAATGCAGTTGCTCTAGATTTGAACTTAATGAGAAAGGAAAGATCAGTTTTGGAAAGATCAATTTTGCTGGAAAACTCTGGTCTTGCCTAATTTCACTTTTGTGTTTGGCCAGATGCCAGTTGTGTGACCGTCCGAGTGTGGTATTGAATGCTTAGATTTTATTCATAATGTTGCCTCAATGTGCTGGGTTGGAGAGAATCCATGTGTTACTATTAAAACAACATCTTATGCAGCTTGTAGAGTGTTCATATAATTATCAGTGGTATAGAATGGAGAATATATTATGCTGTATGTTGTAGGTGGTAGAAAAACATTTGGAAACAGAGTTTCTTGCAGTCTGCACTTGCAGTTGATTCACACATATACATTTCAAACAAGTGTCAGCACTAGTTCCTTTGGGTTTCCAAATTTGGCTGTTAAGTCCCCAGTTGACTGCAGTGAAGTTGAAATTTTTTGGCTGGCACTCATGCCACTCATAATTTTCTTCACACCTCCCTGCAAGTGGGTGTTCAAGGGTACTTATGAAGGTTTGTGGAGGATCAGCCTTGTGGCATATCAGGTTAAGCCACTGCCTGCCTTGCTGGCATCCCACATGGGCACCATTTCGAGTCCCAGTTGCTCCACTTCAGATATAGCTTCCTGCTAAGGCATCTGGAAAACAGAGGAATATAGGCCAAATTCTTGGGTCACTGCACCCATATGGGAGACCTGGAAGAAGCTCCTGGCTGCTGGCTTTGGCCCATTCCAGTTCAGTCCCCAGCCACTGTGGTCATTTGGGAGCATGAACCAATGATGGAAGATTCTTTCTCACTCTCACTCTGTCTTGGTAACTCTGCATTTCAAATAAATAAGCAGTTTTTTTTTTAAAGAAGGTCTGTGAAAAAGTGACATTAAAAGATTATTTTGGTGCAGAAAAATGAAAATCCATGTATCTTTTTTCATAATATGCATTTTCCATGAATTTTCTGAGGACCCCTTGCTAAGACAACTCACAGTCACAAAGGCAGAACTATGGAAGTTATGGCACAGCAGGTTAACCCACAGCCTAGGATGCACACATCCGTATCAGAACGCTGGTCCAAATCCCAGCGCTTCCACTGATGATCCAGATTCCTGCAAATTCATCCTGGGAGGCAGCAGATCACGGTGCACAGGCTTGGGCCCTGACACGCACGTGATGGATGTGGATGCAGTTATCAGCTTCTGGCTCTGACCTAGCTCAGCCGTGGATGTTGGGGGCATTCAGAGAGCAAACCAGGAAAAGGATGATCCTTCCATGTGTGAGTGTGTTGTACTAGATCTTTCAAATAGATGAAAATAAAGAAATATGCATAAAGTTTTAAAAAAGCAGAACAGTGGCTCAGAATTTCTGGACTCTGTTTCTTAGTTTGTGAAGTCAACAGCGGAGGTTTACAGAAGCCCTGGGTAGGAGACCCTGGGGATGCCTCGGTTTTTCCCAGAGCGGCTGACGTAGACACGTCTTGCTTGAGCCTTGCTCTCTATGAAGATCCATCCAACCGCAGTTCCACTTTCCTTCCTGTGCTTTCCAGCCTACATTTCAGGAAATGGACTATCGGTTTGAGATGCTCAGTTTACCTTTATTTATTTATTTATTTATTTATTTTTTAAAGATTTATTTGCTGACTTGAAAGAGTTACAGAAAGAGGGATGAGAGTGGGGTGGGAAGAGAGAGATCTTCCATCTGCTGGTTTAGTTCCCAGATGGTTGCAATGGCCAGGGCCGGGCCAGGCCAAAGCGAGGAACCAGGAGCTTCTTCCAGGTCTCTCAGCAGGGACCCAAGAACGTTGTTGGTTTTCCGCTTCCTTTCCCAGACTGTTAGCAGGCAGTTGGATCGTAAGTAGAAGTAAGATGTCAGCATTGCCTGATGGAGGCTTTACCTGCTCCGCCACAATGCCAGCCTGCATCCTCCTGAGGACTGCACAGCAGCAACGCTCCCAGCTGGCTTTACCCAAAACCCTAAGATTTCATCAGTGTGTGAAAAATGAAGCTCACCGGGATCAGTTTCCTCTGCCAAGCTTCAAAGCAACCTGCAAACAGCTAATATTTAAAGCGTTTTTCTGAAACGTGGCTTATCCTAGTCCATCTCACCCAACGTAAAGCCAGCTGATTACTTAGTGTTAGAGCAGTGGCGCGCCCTTCTTGCCCCACACCCATGTCCACTTTCCGGGGCCACCCGCTTGCTTGACGGCACTCATTTTTCCAACAGCCGAGTGGTTGGAATCTCCGGGAGTCACTTCTACAAACCAGGAAGCTTCTTGCAGCTGCTCGGAGCTGCCCCCTCGATGACATTTTATCTGCTTCTCTTCTCAGAACCGGCTCGTGCCAAACACTCAAAGGTTAACAGGACGCAGATAACACAGCTTAATGGGGTCAGCCTCCAGCCGACTCTGATCACCGCTGAGAAGGGTATCCTCCTGGGGAGAATACTTGTACTGAAAAATCCCATAAACCAAACCACTTGTTTATCCGTCATTCCCACAGAGATAGTAATGTAATTACTCTCGTAATTATCTTCATTAGTGTCAGGCATTATCTACAATTCATTCCTCCGCTCACGAAGAGTATGTTTGTTTATCTGCCGGGTTTTTTTTTTTTCCTTCCCCCCTCCCCTCTCCGGACTTGGCTGCGCGCAGGGTTCTGTATTTGTAAAGCAGCACGCGGCCATCTGTGCCGCTGCCTCTGCCTGACATTCTCTCCCCTAAAATACAGATTGCTGTCTTTTCAGTTCCAGAAACCCTACGCCCACTCGCTGACATCTGCCCTGCACTACTTCGTGCCCGTTCGCCCACGACGACAGATTGTCTATCCCCTGGAAAAGCTTGGCATAAACGCCCCATCAAAGGCGGTCTCCAAGGAGCCGGTGGGTAGTGGGGCGCGGTGCCAGCTCCTGCGGGCTCGGCAGATGGGGTGGCAGCAGTGTCTTAGCAGGAGCAGGCTGCTTCTTAATTACAGGGAACCTGGCGCTCATACCCTTACAGGCAGCCTCAGCAAAGGCCTCCCCCCTTGCCCCTCACACACCAGCCCGTGGCCTGTGGTTATTTCCCAGCAAGCCTAAAACAAGTGAGCTACATTGATCCCACAGGGGGACGCCGTGGGCACACCCTCCTGAGCATTTCATGTCTTTCCCCTTCCCCCCTAAGCAGATCCAATCACCCGCCCCCACTCCCAGTCATTTTAAAACTGGTGCTTTGCTCTCAAGGCAGCAAATGGCTGTTCACTCCCAGGACAAAGCTGCCACCCCAGAAGGTGTCTGATTTGAGTCCTAAGTATATGTGTGTGTGTGTGTGTGTGTGTGTGTGTGTGTGTGTGTGTGTGTGTGTGTGGTGGGGAGAGGTGCACGTGTGATGAACAGGAATGTGTTAGCTGACCTGGGAAGAGGTTTTCCACCTTCCAGTGGAGAAGGGGGGTGGGGAGGAGGAAGTGGAGTGCTGCAGATGATCCAGATGTGGTTCTGGATGGAGATGTCCAGGCACACAGGCACTGAACCATTTTCTGTTAACTGAACAGGAAACCCTGATTTATTATTATTATTATTGTTACTATTATTATTTTTTGAGAATTAACTACCATGTGGGCTTGCTGTGTTTCCATACACAAAGAAATCAGAGAGAACAAAACTCTCTCTGGGCCATGAGTTATCATAACTCCATGGGAGAAAGGGGGAGAAAAGCAAAGTTTCAAGTTCCTTAACAGTATCCTGGCCGGGGCTTCCTCCCTGCTGTCCCCTGGCTGCACCTTGCGTGTGCAGCGTCAGGGAGGAGCCGCTTTCCTGAGACCTGGCCTATGACAGAGACAGCTCCCAAGTCCTTCATTTATCTTTCTATTTGTGAAATTAGAAAAAAAAAAACTACACTGATGCTATTTTTGTTACATATGTGTATTTGAGTAGAGATTGGGAACAAACAGCAGCTCTTGCTCCTCCAGTTCCAACTCTTTATTCTAGAAAAAGCCAATCATACAGGTAGCAGGATGGTGGGAGCCTAGCTTCTGTGGCCAGGGACCCTCTCTTGCTTTTTTTTTTAAATATGTAATCACGGGGTTGCCATTGTGGTGTAGCCCTCTGTGTTTCCACCTGGAACACAGACATCGGCTGATTCAGGTCTCAGCTACTCTACTTCCTGGCATGTACCCTGCTAATTTGCCTGGGAAAGCAGATGTGGTTGAGCCCCTGCCACCCAACGTTGGAGACCCAGATGAATCTCCTGGCTCCTAGCTTCTGCCTGGTCCAGCCCTGGCTGTTACACTCACCTGGAGAGTTAACTAGTGGGTGGGAAATATCTTTGTCTCTCTCTTGCTTGCTCGCTCTCTTTAACTCTACCTTTCAAATAAATGAGTAAATTAGAATCATTTTTTAAAATGTATGACCTATCACAGACTGATAGTTTGGTGGGGGGAAAAAAAAGTCAATTCCTGAGAAAATGAGATACAAAAGCAAAGACAGATTTCAAATCCAGTTATTCCATTATTAGTTTTAATAGGCATGAAATTACCCTCTCAAATTAGCATGAAAACTTCTGATGCTTCTGTCAGTCTCTATACTTCCTTCCAGCTCCATAGGCCAGCCATTATGGCACATGGGCACCTGTCCCAGACCACACATGGAAGTGGGCCCACCCCCACAAAACTCGCAAATGCCCCACTGCAATGATTTTTCACTCTGGACCAGTTTGGGGTCTCTTAGCCTTCACGTACTTCCCTTTCTTCCACACCATTTTGAAGCAGATTACAGATGCCTGGCGTTTCATTCTAGGCCACAGGCATGCTCTTGGCAAATTTCTGCAAAGTGGACTCTTTGGGAGTGAGAGCCAAGGTTCGTAAGTTTGATGCAGAGAAAGCTCACCGGGCTTAAGAGTACTTGTGAGTCGTGTCATTGAAATACGGCGTCCGCAGAGCCAGACTGTTCCCAGGAGAAGGGGCTGGGAGGGAAAAATGTGTGATGCCACAGGGAGGCCTGCGTTGCTGCTTCAGTATCACATCCAGGTAAGGTTCTGAAATTGGCATCCTCTTGTGGCTGTCGCTCTTGTGACCCCTTCCTTCAAGGAGAAGAGGCACACAGGACTGTTGGGTGCGGCCCAAGAGCACTGCTGGTTCGGACATGCAGAAGGTTCTTCTCACACTCTCCCCACCCCTGGGGACTTCCAAGGTTGACCTGCTTTGATGTGAGTGTGCTTGCCTGCCGCTGCAAGGTCCTGTCCTGGGTTTTTGATGCTTGTGGCAGCACCTTGGACAGCTACCTGTGGTGGTCAGTCTGCAGATGAGGTCTTAAAAAGGATGTAGATTGGGCAAGCCAGGTTTCTAACTGAACTCATTAGGGCCTTGAACAGTTCCAACAAAGGGCTTATGAAGGCTCTAATCCCCATGGGGATAGGCCAAACCATTCAGGAGTTCAAAGGGTAAATTCTATTAAAATCATTGTTTATCTATTTTGACATTTTAGTTACCCGTAATGTTTTGAGACTGACTTATCTGGGCTAATTTGAGCCAAATGGAATTTCCAGAGAAGGGATTTCTCTATGACCCTAAATGTAAGATTCTTAGGCAGATTAACCTTTGCAGAATTGGGCGGTTGGCACTGCTAAGTGATGTCCATGCTCCCACCTTTCACCCACCGCATCCCCCGCCACCTACCGCCCCGCCTTTTATCCTGTTGAGAACCTCTTAGAATGAGCACTCCATGAACTCATCTAGGAGGCCAATCTTTAAGGGAGCAGGATCACTGGAGGCGTGAGTAATGGCACAGAAAGGCTTTCATCTCAGTGGGTCGCCAGTTTGAATCCCTCACAAGGCAGCAAAGACCGAAACCCATCCCAGCACACACGTGTGACAGGAGGAGTGCCCTCCAATCCCACTGTCCTCCACTCCGAAACCCCATTGGCTCATTCTCAGTCTGGGTGACCAGTGCGTCTCACTCACCTCACTCACACCTTCCCTATCGTTTCTGCTCGTTGGCAGCCCACCCCATAGCAGGATTTGGAAAATGTCAATGATTTCCATCTCACTTTCCAGAGGTAGCCCCACAGATTGGTTTTTGTATCTGCCCCGACCTCTGTGGACCAGTGAAAACTCATACAGAAGAGTCAGGGCTCTGTCCTGACCAAGACCATAATCAACAGGATGGAGACGGACAGTTCTTCTGTGGGCTGGAATTGCTCGTCCACGTGTGTGCTTTTACATTCTGAGTGTCATTCTCATGGAGCCATGAAGTTGGATAAATGAGTCATCACAACACACCCTGGCATATCCATACTGCAGTGGGGGCTCGGGGCGTGGTGCTCAGAAACTGGGTGAACTGACAGGCTGTGGGGCAAGGTGCCACACACTCCGTGACCGAGGGGGTGGTTCTGTGTGGCCAGTTGGGTTTCCTTTCTTTCTCAACTCCTGCAGAGGTTCAGCATGATTGTCACACCAGCTAGCTTCCAGTCTAGCTGCAGGATCAACTGCAAAAGACGGCAAACAGGGGTGCCCAGGCTCAGGAGAACCTGCTGTGTGGTTTGAGGATGTGTGTTAGTGTCCCAGATGTGGCTTTCCTTCCAGGCTTGGGAGTGTGAGTCACTGTTACATTCAAACTCCAGAAAACTTGCTTTGAAGTGAAGCCAGCCTCTAACCTTGGTCTTTTATCGGTAGGTGCTCCCCGTCATCCACACGGATCGCTTCAGGTCTTCATCTTGATTTGAGGCAGCCATAGTATTACCACGTAAACTCCGCCTCTCCTCCAGCCCCACTCCTTCACATTTTGGGGGGCCAAACCAGCCTACCATCTTTCCAAAGGAATCAGCAGCTCCTGCCGTCATTTTCTTTTTGCCTGTTTATTAGTGATGCTCTATTAAATCTCAGCTAATGGGCTCTTTGGAGGCCTGCATTTGGATTCCGTGCATTTTGGTTCTTCCACCCCCTCACTTGGCCCCCTTTGTCCTCCCACAAAGGAAAATGACGGTTTACTTAGCCCCCCTCTCAGAGTTAAATGCTGGCCCCGCTCTGGCCTGGTATGTGATCCCTCTGGAAGATGTCACTCACAGGCATTCAGTTACCCTCTGAATTGCCCCTTTTCATCTGGGCTGTCCTTCCCCAGTCCAGCTGTAATTACCATCTGACGGACTGTTACTGGATACTGTTTCACTTGTGCATCTGCTGCCTGAGGAAATTGCATTATTCTCCCAGCACCTGCTGGATTCCATACCCCCACCCCCAGCTTAATTGTTTCCCAGCCCCTTCCTTAAACTTGCTAACTTTCACTGCCCTCCTCCCCCTTAGATTTCCTTTGCTTGTATTTGTGCTTGGGGTGTGTGATGTGTTTTTAAACCCAGCTCTTCAGCATGTCCTTAGCAGGCATTTCTAAAAATGAAAACCCACATGGGCCTTGAGCATCAGGCATGTGACCATGGTGATGCTTCCTTGAACTGATACCAGCGTAGTTTAAGTTGCTGTCGCCAGTCAGGTTTGCTCTTTCAAATCACTTCTCATTTCCTATGCATTTGGGCTCCACATAAGACTCACGTTTCCTTCCATTTATAGGGACCCCTTTTCCATGAGATTCTTAGAATAATTGACAGAAATTCCTTAATGGGCTTTCTCTCTGTGTCACTATTTTTTGTTTTTCCTTCAGACGCTCCAAGCTTCAACTTCTCTTCCTCCCTGCCTGCTCCCCTTCCCAGTTCTCCAAACACTGCATATCAAAATGAGTGACAAACTGGTGGGTTATTTCCATTTGTTATCAGAGTTTTCCCTCTTAATAAAACCACACCTCGAGCTTTGGTGAGTCTGAGACTCTTCCCCTGGCCAGCACACGGACTCTGCCCCACATAATGTACACAACAGCATGTGTGCGGATGAGGGGCCTTCACCAAGTCTATGGGGAAAATG